TGCAATTCAAATAAATAGAGCCTGCTATAACGTTGCATTGTACAACGAATCATAAGTTTAAAACGACATAAGAAGGAGTAGATTATGTATAGAACAGATTTTAAATAAAATAGTCAATATTGGGGAAAACCACTTTTATTCTGAGGAAAGCTATAATCACGAATGAAACAACACTAAACAATTTGAATATGAACATGATATTTAGATCAGTTTATAGGTCAAGTTTGAATCAAATCATGAGTGGGGGAATTAGTGAATCAGCATTTGCACAATTGTCGATCAATGATGCTTAGCTTAAGACATTTATTTTCCTATAGTTTGGAAAGTAAGCCTTAAACTCGAAAAAAAAACGAAATCTCACTCATATAACATGTTTTTCAAATACAGTATATCAACTAGTTTACAGTTCCTTTCTTACGTTCAAATATTTAGTCAGTGTTATTACTGAACGAATATTGTTGCAATTGTTTTTTTCGAATTATCAATATAAGTACTGCGTAACTAGACTGCCATGTATATATACTTCACAAGTCCGGTATATCCGAATATATACCACGTCTGTTTCGAATTTAAGTATGGTACAGGCTGATAGCTGGCTTTCAGACTCAAAGACAGGGCACATCTAGCTTTCGAATATCGGATCAATAGCAACTTAGCTGTTGACGCAAGGTTAACAGTGTTGGTCGGACGAGTGATTGGCTAATTCGGAGTTACTAAACTATAAAGTGAACAGTAAACGCGAAATCGATCAAATTAGAATCAAGATTTTGACTGGTGACTTGGTCACAGGTCACAAAACATAAAAGTTAGGTCTGAAAGATTTCAAAACGATGTTAAGGAACATATAGATGATAATGTTATTTACTTACATTAGAAACCAGCTTTACAACTAAATCATGCAAAGTTTGGGAAATACAGCATGATCACAATTAAAGGTCTGAGCTGAAAGTTATGTTAGAAATAAACTAATATATGTCGGCATGATGATAAGTCGTTTTCATTGACGAGTTGCACTACAATCTGATTAGTTTTAGCCTTTTATCGTTGAACGCAGTATAGGTTACAGCAAGTACATACCGTACGGCAAATGTAATGTTGGACGTTAACAGCTTATTATACAGCAACAATTTTATCGTATTTAACTCCCCAACCACATATATATCATCCTTGGACTCAGTGAATTTACATACTACAAGCACTAGGATGGTGTTTCTTCATCAAGAGGAGCTGGGTAACTCAGAATCTCACACTATCAACTAGTTACAATTGTCAGATTATTTTAATTTGAACCCAGTATTATTGTTTATTGTTATTAACTACTTTTATTATTAAACATAAGTACACGTCATATGCTTTTTCAGTCATTAGTTTACATCTATTTTTCTCTTTAACAGATCCCCTCTCATAAATGTTCTTCTTCATACACATTCAATGCGCAACATATCTTTAAATACTACATCGAAAATGATGATGCGTAATCATGTATCATTGGCACTTATACCATGATCGATAATTTGACATTTTCACCAAACACTTACATTTTACACAACAATAGTATGGGGGCAATCGGTATATATATGTATATAATCTCAAATATTCTTTGAATAGCAGTATTATTCAGACAGAATATGATGTGATTAAAGATAGTGATGAAAATAGAAGCTATATCACCTGATCTCATGATCATCATAATTACAAAATGGAACAAAGTAACGCACGCCAATTGTGTATTTACATAGTGATGTTTGATAGTGAAATGAATATTTTGTAAATAGAAGAAAAACAGATTTTGATAATCACTAGGTCAGAGGTTATCATAGACTATGTCTACATCAGATTTAAGAGTAATACTATTAGCTTTAAATGAATTGTACAACTTTTACACTTACATTTGTTTATGGTTATAGAAAATTATCTATTCAACAAATTATGGTGTACTATATTATTACCAATGGAATTCAATATATGTATTTTGTCTTATTTTGGACTTGTCAGATGGATGTACTTGCACTCTGGTGTTGATGTTTAAATTGATACTCACAACTTAGTACAAGTAAAAAAAACTGTAATCAAAAAATTGTATACTCAATTCTGCAATCGAAATAACTATCTAAAACATTTGATCGTGTGTAATTTACCACATGGTATGGATTATTGTATCATGGAACTACTCAATATGAAGCTTTATCCACTGAAGTGGTTAAAATTCGATATTACGGACACTCACTCACTCATTGAATATTTCACCGTGAACAGTATTAGAATACAGATAATGTTAACTATTATACAAGAAGAGCTTTATAAAGAGTACCAAACATAAAGGTCCTTGATACTAATGACGATTAAAATGACAAAATGTTGACAAATGAAGAGAATAAATCACTAATAGATGAATTAACAAGTGAATGATAAGTTAAGACTGCATAAATTGTGTCGCATAAAATGTTAACATTCTAAACAATTCATGTAAATACTTCCCTCTCTAGTAAATATGAAACATTTGAAGTACAGTTGGATAGAAACAACTGATCTACTTATTTTCTGATATATGAGATCACCTTTCGATTTACAAGAAATATATATATGACTGTTACAGATACTACTTTTGTTATATCCGGACGAGTGGTAACTGCTAGTATCTATTTATGGACTATGAATATGTATGTATTCTTATTGTATAACCATTAAGTAACTACATTATATGTGAATTTATATTCCTTTTATTATGAACTTTTATTCGATCTATTGACTATTATTATACGATTTACTATTCTTAAGTTATTCCCGGTTACAGTGTCTCACAATCACAACCACTTTTTACCTTGATCTTGTATAATTTTTATTTTCTATTTTATGGTGTGATGCGGTCGGATTTGTTTCTATGTAAACCCAGTATATCTGAAATATATTATTCGTACAATGGAGGCTGATATTGGCGTTCTGAACTGAACCGGCTGGGTTAGGAGAGAAGCTACTATCTTGGTGGATCAATAAAGACTCAGAATTGACTCTGAACTGCTGGTACTGGTTTATGTATCATTGGCCTAGTCAGTAAGTCGGTGTTCTAATTGATGATCATATCACATGATGATTAACAGGTCATAAGAACACAACAACTTGGTTGCTCAAACTACTGGTGTAGATGAAACAGAATTAGAATCTATGACTTCATCAGACATTGCTCTACTACTTTAAAAGATAAACAATGTATCCCAACAGAACAGATTCACAAATTCAGCATTAATAGCCCCCCCCCCCAAAAAAAAACAATAAACCATATTCTGCATATATATATCATACAAATTTATCTTTTAGGACAGCTGTATTATTTAATCAAATAAACCTGGCAACAAAAGAATTCAAAGTCAATCACTTCCAAAGTTACAAACACTAAAGATAATAAATATTTTTTTGTAATTCTGATTTGTAACAATCTATTGTATCCCTTTTAATGGACAAATTTAATCATTATTACACTGTTTACAAACTACTAACCATTGAGAACCAATTGAAGTTCACTATCATTTATATCTAAAAACAGCTGTAATTATACGGGAGAATAGTTGTTATTTTTAACAAAAAAAAAGGTTGTTCACCCGATTCTATCTAGAAACAAACAAACAACCAATTTTGTTTAAAAAAAACAAACAAACATCTTTTTCATAAATAGAAGCAATGGAAATAAGACAAAAATGAAGTTACTTTATTTTACAAGTAGATAAATACTCACACATACGTACGCACGCATGCATGCACGCACACAGACACACACACACACACACGCATACAATTGAAATATAAAGGAAAAAGAAGGAGAATTTAGGACTGGCGCCAAAGAATCACTTAATTTTTTTTTCTGAGAAAGAAAGAAACAAACATGTGGAAATGTAAATTTATGGGATCATTTTAAGTTGGCTGAAACGTTTTCAATGTTCAACAGATGTATTGTATTCAGTAATTTTGGTTACTATTATTCCGCTTATTGAATGAGTGAATATTACACATTACAATGTAAATTTCATGAAAAATTATATTCTAAATGACTAAAATTATCCTCAATTGTCTACTATGAATATAGAATTGTAGCATACTAGAATATACCGAATAAAGGATATAAATATGGTGGAGGTAAGAGCTTGTAATGAAATCTCTGTATTATATTTCATGAACAAGGAGAATATAATTTGAAAGAACATTAATCAGCATTGGTATAATGTATTCTATGATTCATTTTAAGCCAATTTCCGAAATTTTATTTGCTGTTCCCTAACATCGTGATTACTGAATATTGGAAATATCTCTGGATGAATAATAAATACCATAAATATTACTGGCATTATTGATTCTTTCTCATTAATTTGAAGTACAAAACTTCAGTAAATCACAGAACCAGTTCTTTGGAGGTCACCTACTCGTATTTTGTTGCCATTAATTTATCTTATTTTCTGAATGCTGTCAGTCAAAGCAGATATACAATTCGAAGATCGAGGTAGAAACCACAACTCTATGAGATGTTATGGTGCATGATTCGAATAATCACTCTTAGTGTTACAGACTCGACATCACATGCAATAAATATAGATGTTACGTGCACGGAGGTATTGATCACATTTCGAATTGATTGATAGAATTCAATCAATAATACAGGACTAGACAAACATCAGATAATCACTATTCAGTAATTAATGTGTTATAAATACCTCAGTCCTTCACGAGATCAGTTGAGGCCTGGATCGCTATGAATCTGAGTGAAACGGGTTCGAACCCCAAAAGAAGTGTCGTTTCCCTCAACAATGCAGATGCGCTTCGCTTACAAGAAGTAGGCAGTGTGAGACATAAGTTCAGGTTTTCCAGCCGGCTACCTCCAACTTCCTAACGTCTGAAGGTACACATTGAAATACATCAATCTATCTATTTAAAAATATCGGTTTATTCGTGTGAAAAACATTAATAAACGATTTTTTTGAATACTCTGTCGATATATATAAATATGAACATACCTGAAAGAAAGTTGCAATTCGTGCATGATTCTTACAGGCTTGTAAACGTTCGCGAATACGTTTTTGTGCATATAGAAAATGGCCATATAACTGTGATAAGGATGAAAGACTTTCTTGGTCAAACTAAACAGAAATAAAGGTTAAGACAAAAAAGTGACATTTATAAAATTCATAAATTGATTCAAACAAACAACATAATCAATAATGTTGACTGAAAGACATTAAAAACAACAGTGTACTACTGTATTTGCGCAAATTTGCGTGCATAAGATTATTATTTCACAATGCTAAAGTAATAACAAGTGTGTTGTTTAATGTTATATTTACAGTATAAAAAGAGTACAAGTATTAAATCACTATGCAAATTAATTAAAAATCTCATTCTAATCCAATAACATCAAAGAATAAACAATCTTAAAGTAAGTAGTTGTTTTATGGAGATGTTACTGGTTCTACAATGGATTAAGTCAATTAACATTACATAGGTTGAAATCATGAGTCGATTGAAGCCAAACCACCATGGAAATCCTCGAAGCACTGGACGGCCATTTCGTCCTAGTATGGGACTCCTCAGCAGTGCGCATCCACGATCCCGCCCCCACGAGATTCGAACCCAGGACCTATCAGTGGTCAGTGTTCTAGTTGGTTAGGCGCCTGGCGCGAGACTGATAGGTTTTGGGGGTTCGAACCCCGCGGGGGGCGGGATGGTGCAGTCCCATACTAGAACGAAACGGCCGTTCAGTGCTTCCAGGTTTTTCATGGTGGTCGAGCTTTAATCGACTCATGATTTCAACAAGTGAAATTTCGAAAACTCTCCACAAAACCCATTCTGATAACATTATATACTTTATTATTATTATTATTATTATTATTATTATTATCAATACTATTGTTTGGTGAATAGATATACGTAATTGAATGGCGGCCTGCTTGAATATCTGGGCTACCTGTTCCTCCGATCAAGATATTTCATCAAGTTATCTGTTTTGTTGTTTGTTTTAGCACATCATTATCTCTATTGTGCACACAATCTATTCAGGCGCGTTTATGAAAAGTTTACAACTTTTCGCTATACGGGATACAAAAAGGTACAATCAGCGACATCATGGTGGCTGGCAATATGCATTGAAACGAATGAACATTAATCAAATGTGGATAACCGAACTCCTAACATCTAACCGGTCATCATTCAAAATTTATCGTCACAATAGATCAAGGTATAAGAAAAGGAAATTTGTTGAAATACTTTATGCTGAGAATTCTATATTGTACCAAAAATATAATGTTGAATAAAGCTAATAATAATAATAATAATAATAATAATAATAATAATAATAATATGACAGATTTAGTTTTTAGACCTGTTTAATTAGTATTACTCACAGTTTCTTACTCTTAGTTATCGAGTTGAACAAGTGTAACAATCATCCAAGAGATATAGTGTAATTCAATAATAAAATAAACGAACAGAATGTTTCCAATAGATGAAGTTTTTTTTGTCTCTGAAACATCAATTTTTTTATGGAACGTACATAGTGCGTACAAAATAAAGACTAGTAATTCATGGGACATTCACATTTACAGTTGATCCGATTTAAAAAACAATTCACTAAAGAAGTCATAGAATGAGTTATGGAGGATTTTATCAGTATTTAGTTAATAAGCAGTCAGTCATTATTGTTTGTTCTATGTATTACACTAATGAAACAACTGCTGTTAAAGAAGGACGTGTAAGAAATCAAGATAAAGATTATTCATCAAATTATAGAGGAATTACTCTCAATCTCAAGTCCGAGCAAATAAAAGAAAATTGGAAGTGGGGTTAACGACCTCGCTTCACAAAATGAACCTTGATACAGAAGAGTTAGCAAGAGAAACCATGTGGTTGTAAGATAGGATTAAAACGAATCATGGTACGCTTAATCAACTAACGGATATTGAAGAATATAAAACCAAGAAATTTAGTTTAAGCAACTAATAAACAAGATAATTGCTTCATACTAGCATCAAAAATGGTAGGAATATGCCATTGACCAACTTGACTAAAGTAACTTAGAGTTGATTTGAAGAAAAAACACATGCGTAACATTTATTGTGACGTTTGCTTCAGTTACTTTTTTTTCTTTCCGCTTACCTTCTGTCAATTTTTTTCATTCTTTTAAACTTAAAGTGAATATATTTCTGTTACGTGATCTAACGCTAAGAAGAGATCGGGTTATCTATCATTTATGTTGAAAATGTTAGTTCTTTGTTTGAACAATAATTTCGACGACATTTTCTAAGTCTTACTTGTGTAACAAGAGTCGTTGTTAACCTAGTGGTTGTGACTGCTTTTGGTTTGTTAACTCAGACATGTGGTCTAAGGTCATTGAGTTATTCATTTCTAATATTTGACTGGAATATAAAGTTAACCTGAAAGACCCGTTTTCGGATAATAATATATGAATTATTAAACTGAAATGCTGTTGCGTATCAAACCTACGGTATATTAAGTGCATATTCATTCATGTTCGTATTAGATTCTCAACTGTTCATAAATAGAATTTAACGGAAGCCAACTGAAAACTACAATACTTAATCATTTTAATGAAGATATAACACCAACTATTGATGTAAGTCTCCCCCAAATGCCCTGGTACGGCCGAGGGTAGTGAGAGTCCGCTCTCCCTCTCGAGATGCTCTCACATGGCCACGTGCATAAAACCACTGCCACGAAAGTCCTATTCACCGTCTTCTCGCGACATTACTGTTGTTTACGAAATTGAGAGAACGAAGAGCGAATGTCCGGCGCTTTAACCGGGTCGGTGTACATGAAAAGTCCAACTAGGGGAGTTGGAAAACCCTCATTTCAAACCAATAGTGCACATGGGCTACAGTATGCTGAAGGAATAAATGGCGTATGAACCAATCGTTGGTCACCGGCTACCATGTGACTAGATCTCCTAACGTTGCTCCACTGTCAGACCTTTAGGTCGAAGGTTCCGGGTTTGGCCCCCCAAGAAAACACCTGCATCGGTTTGGGCAACCGGGCAGTATCACAGCCCTCGCACAAATCAAATGAGATTTGTGTGGCGTATATGTATTTGGTTCCTTTTTGTACCAATATCTGTGTTCAAATTTATAAATAGATGTAATCCAAAATAAATAGATACAAGAACAACCACTTTATAAAAAAATATTGTGTTACAAAATTAAAATTTAAAACTCACTAACTGCACCAAATAAGCTCCTAATGATGGTATAATATGATCTTCACGTTCTAGATGTAAACCAGCTAGAACACGAAATATTTTCTCATGAGAAGTAACAAGTTCATTAATACACGGGAATAAAGCTGTACATAAATCTGTATCTCCTAATAAATGATCCGTAGATAAACCAATCACTGAATTAACATCAACTTTCGGGAAAGGTTTCATATATAAATCTCTAACAATAAGTAACATATCTACATATCCACGTTCAGAAAATACGAGTTCTGTAAAGTGAAAAAAAGTAAAGAAAAAAGAAAAATTGGATGATCTACAAGAAATAAACGAAAGCAACTACCGAGAGTTTATCAAATATGGCCCAGAATAGAAGCCAATTGAAATCCCACTAAAATTTCTATTTGCTTGCCCCACAGATCTAGTCAACATTGGAGAAAACTTGACATATTCCTAAGGACTTAAGACAGTTTCTCGATATAATTTTACCAATTTTGTTTCTCTTTTATGGTTAAACATACCTAGGTTTTTATCTGGAGGCATCAGTGATCCACTGCTACACGATACGGAAGCCTGTTAAGCGAAAATATTTCGGAAAATGAGAGAAACCCGAAAGAATTCCTACGAAATGTTTTGTTTTTACTAACAAACAGACAGATTTTATCAACATAGAGCTTGGCACAGATATACATTGGCTCACGTTGTCAGTTGATTAACATAACAAGATAAATAAACGACTAAAATAATAAAGAACCAATAGTACAAAGAAAGATCAAACCTTGAGAAAAATTTAGAAGGAATACTGAAATTTATTATTAAAGAGAAGAAAAAAGTTAATGCACCTGAGCCATTATGAATGTAAGCTGAAATAGTTTAACTCAATTATCTTACTGGACAACTGGTATTTAACAAATGAATATTTTCATAGTTTAAATCACGAACAGATCTTAGCTAAACCATCACTACAATTCCCGAAAATCGAACGAAGCACTTTAGGTCGAGTGTGCAGACGCTTGACCTTTAGACCAATGAGCTGGCATCAAACGAAATACATATCTGGTTTGAATCAATCCACGATATTGCGCAACCTTCATCCATCGCCTGCGGTTGATAAATATCTCACATTCAACATAATTAAACTCCGCTAGTCATGGCTTCTTAGTAGAACTTCTATAGTTGCATCTTAAGGCTAGTCACTGGAGAGCAAATGATTGTTAAAGGTAGCATAAAGAGATTTTCGGAGGTTGCAGAATTTTTTCGTAAGTTAGACTACTAGTGAAAACGTGGAAGCACTGGGTGGTTGTTTCGTCCTAGCATTGGACTTCTTAGAAATGTGAACCATCCGATAAGTTTGTTACTTCAACCATAAAAATGTTACGATCTCCATAAATCTTCCTATACTAAGAAAAATATTTCTGGGAGAAATAGAACGGCCACACCCATTCTGATTTATTTAAGCTACTGACTAGTGCACTGAACAGATCAATGGAAATCTATTATTTACTGTTTCAGGGGAAAATATGAACAGAGAAGTGTGACAGATATGCAATATTTGTAGCAAACTGTTTAACGCAACAATCTATGCACGTAAATCAGTGTGAGAAAACCAATAACTAGATGTATAGAAGTGAAGTTGAACTACTTCATAACGTCAGTCGTTTGGTACTGAAGAAATAAATTGTTTACAGATGCCTGTAAAAAACAACCTGATACAATTTACTGTCATTTGGAAATTCGTGGAATTTAACTATATGACAATAAGAATGATATAAATGGGAAAATAAGACTCATTACAAAACTTAAACGATAACGTATCCGCTTAGGAACCTTACCATCCTGTACATTTGAAACAGATTAAGGATATTTTTTATTAAATACATGTATCGAAAACTAAAGTAAAGATCGTGATAACTACTGTTCTGATCGAATAATTTCGAATTCGATAGTAAAGATAAAATGAAGATCATTTAAACAATAGGACGAAACGGCCGTTAGTGCTTCTAGGTTTTCTATGATGGTCTAGCTTAAATTGACTCATTATCTCAACTACGGAAATTAATTTGTTCTTCTAGACATTTCTAGATAGTGAATTGTATTGTATTATTATAATATCAATTACATAAATTAATTAGAAAGTAACTTTAATTTTAACGCACATAACTTTTGAATTAGTATCGACTGTATTATAAGCTGAACTCTATAATTCATCATTAATTTCTGATCAATTAGAAACTCACGATAAAGCAGTTAAAATCCAAATAAACCCGAAATTCATTAACTGATGATTAACTGACAGAAATACCGATTAGCAAACGAAAGCTGATTAAGGTAAAATAGAATGTTTGAACTTTATCACAAGCTAGGACGTATTAGCTCTCAACCGAACCAAGGTATCGAGTACAAAGACAATGTTAAGAAATAACACAGAATATTGTCAGAAGACGAATTCCAAAACACCATGAGATTTTTGTTAGATAAGGAAAGTATTTACATTTGATCTACATATATGATCGTCAAATCTCATTCAGATGATGACTGTGCAATACAGAAAATGAACTGAAGTTACTAGAATATGTCATTGGGTGCCAACTCAGAAGTCTAAAGGTTAGGCGCTTACTGAGAAGCACCAAGGTCCTGAATCCGATTCCCGGTAGGTGATGAATGTACACTGTTAAGCTCTATGTTACAATGAAGTACCTGTCCAGTGCTTCATAGTTTCTAGTGATCGCCACGGGGTATTTTAAATCAAGTCAAAAACAACAATTAAAGCATAAACATGATTTAAAATCACAGAGCATTAAAGTGACCACCTTAGCTTTTAAGTGTGATTTAGGATACACAATTAAAACCATTAGTTAATAAGGATCGAATCATGTGAACATAATAAATACTAAGTGTGATTTTATTAAGAAATAGTTTATGAAAAGTGAATTTAAATGAGTTGAATAAAAGTTTCTTTCGATTTTCCATAACATTATTCAATTACATTCTGCAACAATGTATAATTTGTACAGAACACAAACAGAAAAGTTGATGTTGCATGAAACCTAAATATGTGATGTATGCTACTTATGTTGACAGATATAAATAGTATGTAACACTAATCAGGAGTGGAATGCCTGACAGCAGAAGATTGAATTGAAGAGAATAGGAATGTAAACACAGAGCAATTTCAATAACAACAGAAGTGAAAGAATCATGAAGCATGTAAAGTAAAAGTGAAGGAAGATTTGCAAATCATGTGTTTTTTTTATTTTACGATCATACTCTGTGAAAAGATAGGGGTTGGAGGTGGTCAACAGGCAACCCTAGACCTAGGTTTTGTGCTACTTGACACTCATCAGCAAGGTGTACCTGTAATCGTGAGGGAACTGATGCTTTCTGATGAATTCGATCACATGTCATCCAGTCAGTCGCGACCCGGATAGCTCAGTGGTAATGTCTCTGACTATGAAGCTGAGTGACACGGGATCGATTCCGTCAGGAAGCATCACTTTCCTCAAAATTAAAGGTACACCTTGCTGACGAGTGCCAAATAGCGCGAAACCCAGGTTCAGAGTTCCCTGTTGACTACCTCCAACCACCACCTTATCCCAACATAGTGCATGCAATGTCGCTTCACCTAGACTGGTGACCACATTACAACTTGGTCGATACAATTCAATCTGCACTAAGAAGAACCTAAGTAGAACCCGACATGACGTCTTCGTTCACATTAGGTATATACATATATATACAATTACTTATTCGAAATTGTCGAAATTTCATTATTCCAAACTAAAACGAAATTAATAACATAAATTTGTCTGACTTCAAAACTATTTGTTTCATGTTTATTTATGAATAAACTAGATTTACTGGAATTAAGAAAGAAAAAAAAAGAAGTCGAATGTGTGCAGAAAACGCCTTTTAAGAAAAAATTGTAATAAGAATTGTGCCATCACATAATGAACTATTTGTGCTTAAAAGAAAAAAAGAACATTATTTCTTATTATATCACTACTCACTAGACAACAACATGTGATCAGTTTGATTGATTATGTATTTGGTTCAAACAAATCAATATTCTCAATACAATTGTGATAAGATCTGATTATGAATAAACTTCATTTTGATTAAGGATATACATAATCAATGTGTAAAAAACGGTATACATCACAGTTTATCTAGTGTACAAAAACATATGGATCAATCAGTTTTTATTGACAACTGTTTTGAATTCCATATGTACTTTAACTGTAGGAATGTGTAATTCATGCTTTGCCAATCATTGGTTTTACATCTGCATTCGATCCTCCTTGTTCATTGATAATGATGGCCAGATAGGTGAGTGTTTCCACCCCTTCCAAAGTTTCTCAATCAAGTTTGACTGTATTAGTGTTCTCCCTTTTTTTCCTTGTGTATGTTGAGGTCTAGTGATGCAGAAGCATCTTCCATACTGATTGGCTTGACCAGCGTTTGATTGTGGGTATGCAATATAATGAATAGGTCATCTGGAAAATCCAAATCATTTAGTTGCATCCAAGCGAATTGATGTGATAATATAAATCAATATTTTGCACTCACAACACACACAAACACAATTCTATTAAAGAAATATCATATTTACTCAGTTGAATGTTAGGAACTTCAGAAGAACACAATATCTAGACCCATATTTTTGAAGAATTATTATAAATATTTAGTAAAAAAGAAAGTGGTAAATCTCTATGTATACCAGTTTCACTAATCTAAAATTATAAAACATAATAATTGATTACAGTACAAAATAGGAATGAGACCTACAGAATTGAATAAACTACTTTTTGAGTGTTTGCGGAACAATCCAAAAGTGAATCATTTTTATCTTCATCATTACAATAAACCACAGAAACACACTATGTATCATGTTAACAAGGTTTAAAATTGTTCGAAAGAATTCTCTTTGTCATCATACATTGAAACGGATAATGTTAGATGTATCAAATACTCACTCTCCTATATACATAGTTTATGTAACACATAAATTAATCAGTTTTATTGTAGCATACTTCGTTCTTGATAAGCATGCGAAGATAAACTATTTTATTAATGTTAAATTGAATAAAAGGTGTGAAATAATGAAGTAAGAATGCAAAATCCGACAACGAGTTTTATATATGACTTGTTCATATGGAGACGGCGACAACAACTGTTCTTCACATAATTTCATCTGGGTAACTCTTCAATGAATTATTTATTGATGAAGATCTTGCAGTTGATGATGAGGTTACCATTGAACTGTTTATGATTGTACGAAAGATTCAAGAAAAGAAACTCTTTACATGAATAATCAATATCGTTATGTGTTTGTGTTTCTAAGAAATTGAGATCAGAAAACTGATACTAAGAGGATGAAAAAACACTGGAGTCTAAAATGTTTCATTACTCCTATCTGCAAAATACTTTTGATTTATACAGACAGTTTGATCATGAAATGAGAAGTGGCTGCAGCATCACATTGTCAACTAAGAATCGCTTAAGGTTGACCCTGCTATACACCTTTACCCGTTTCTCTAAAGAGTGTTTCTTCCAAAACTAATTACTACATAAATCTTGTTCAACAATATATACAATATATTGTTACATGAGATCTAAGTAGTAATTAATCTCAGAAAATAATTGTAAGTTTATAGTATTGTCGCACTGGAGCAATTCCCAAACTGACAGTGTGATCCGGTAGCTAATTACTACATAAATCTTGTTTAACAATGTATACAATATATTGTTACATGATATATAAGCCTACTCACCCCATATATTATCATTTCGATTAATATAGGTTGGAGTGTATTTCTTTTTATTTTCTGGACCACAATATCCAAGCCAGCTTGGATATTGTTGCAAATAACTCGTTTGATCGATTAGTTCAAAAACAGAAACAGTAGAATCCAAGAATTTTCTGATCTTTCATCATCTTTACAGGATATTTCATCTTCATTAGAATCTCTGTAAGTTGACAAATTCACAAAATTTAATTAAAAACTAAATTATGCATGACACAAAAATACATAGGAATAGTTAACAGATAAAATGTGCATAACAAAAATGCACGTAAGAGTAAAACATTTCCAAAATTCAATCACGATCATTTTTGGAAAACGAACATGTTTAGTTGGTTTATGAAGTATATGAATTCGACAACAGGATATAACCCTAACTAACTAATGAAAAACTGGAGAGCATTCAATTGCAAGGACTTCTCAATCATTGCTTAATAGACAACCCTGAAGTTGGGTTTCGTACTTGGTAAATGTGGTAGAATGTAATTAATGCTAAAAGACTTGGCAGATATGACATTAGTCACTAACTAATGATCAACCAGCTATCAGTATTTCTATTCCACAGTAAGTTAGTTAACTTGTGGTGACACCTCAGATTGTGATCTACTTTCCGATCCACTGAGGAGAACCAGAGCCTTCATTACAGGTATCCCTCGCTGAGGAATGCCAACTAGGACGAAACCCAAGTCCTTGAGTTCCTGGCGACTACCTACAACCACTTAACAAAAACAAAGTTGAAAGTTACAAGGTAAAATGGATAGAATTCGGACAGCGAAACTGACATATCTGTTTATCCAATAGAATGCAGGTGACATATACTGTATGACATCTATTAACCAGATGAGGTATCGAGAGATGGTGACAGATAAAGCGCCACTACATGAGATTGGCAAGGAAAAAATTCAACTAAACAAAAAAACCTGTCTTTGGAACAACATTATCATTTAATACATCTTCAACAGATGTTTAGCATTTATACTAGTCTTTTGCAGAATAGAATTGTATTGAGTTGTAAAGCAATCGTAAATTTCAAGTATCCAAACGTTCATTACCAGTTACTTAAAAAGATAACTCAATTAGTATGGTGAAGAATATGGTTTTATAGTTGAGAAGTAGTAATTATCTGATTCACTGAACAAATACAAAGAATGCAAAGTAGACAAAATTGAAGTGGATACATGACAACAAATCAATAACTACAAATCATCAGAAGAGGACAATATCAACAGGTTATAAGATATGAAAAATAAGAAAATGGTTAGAATTATGACAGAATATGAGATTGGATACGCCTTTTTCGGCATACAGATTTTAGACTTAAATTAATGAATTTCTGTCGCCCCTGTAATCCACAGATTATTTTTCACCTATACTCTATGTGAGTTAATTTTCTGAGTGTGGATAATTTTGAAATGTAATTCTAGTGGAGCAGCAAATTGCTGGAGTCTTTCAAAGATATAGCTGTTGGTGAGTAAAACTCTGTATACACAATGGTGTGATGAAAAGAGACAGTTTATTCCTAACGTACACACCAATTAGTAGGTGTAGTGTACAACACCCAACAGAAACGAATGATTTTGTCAGAACTTAAGATAGGGCTTTATCTACAAAATAAATTTTGATGAAAGTGTTCTTTGTCAATGTAAATAATTTCCTGGTGGCTATCATGGCTTCAAAGTCTTATCGATGGATTTGAAGGGTAAATGGTAAGTATATATATATCATTCAAGTGAACAATGTTGATAGTTGATTAAATCAATCGATAGACGCATTTTACTCATTTATTGAACAATCAGCCTTCAAACATTCTTCCCACTATAAATTATTAAAGTCCACTACTTCACATAATAACTCCGCCTGTAGCTCTTCTAGCGTTATTACCGGTCCCAAGCCCGGGTAAAGGAGGAGGGTTGGGCATGGGGTTAGCGACTTCATCCCGTAGAAAACTAACTCTCTAAAAACACGCTAACCAGAAAAAATAATTCAAACCACTTCATATAATAGAACTGTTTGTTCCTCTGACATTGGAATCAACACTACACAAAAACACCATTTGTACACACACTTATAAAACATTTTCTTTTTGAAGTAAATAATTATGTATAAATTTCGTTAAATTTAATGCATAATTCTGTGTTTATCAAGAAAATACCCAATGCGAACAGCACATAAGTTAATATTAATCTGTTCTTTTGATAATGATGAAAAATAATATGTTTTTATAGAACTATCAGGAATACAGTACATGATATACAACTGTGAACATTTGACTACAAATTTAAGCAATGATACTTTTGTTGATACCACACACACACACACATCAACATTAAACACATGACTGGATATACATGCATATCTGATATATTATATATTTGGAAAAATGTCAGAATTTCAGCATCATCATCATCATCATCATCATCATCATCATCATCATCATCATTAATCTATCCATTTATCTTGATGATTGGGTTATTTATTGTGTTTATAGTGTCATGTGCATTTGATCATTTTCTTTACGCAGAATAATAATTATATTACCTTTTACAGGAGGGGGTCATTTAATCCAAAGATAGATGAAGAAAGAGGAGGAGTGGCGTAAGATTCAAGTACACGTACCATTTGTGTATAGTTTAGGATAGGAAAATTAAATCTTTGATTAATTAATCTAGTTAGATTACCTATACAGAGAGAATTAAATACTCAGTCAACGGGATATTATTTATTGGAGTCAGATATAGAAGAAATTAGCCTTTACAATTTAACAAAGAAAATATGAGAGTAGTAAAAGTAAGAACAGTATGATTAGTAGTAGAAAATATTCAGCGCATACAATACGATTGGAGAAGAATGAAACGATCTACAGAATAGAAAAAAGTAAGACAATTTAAAAACTGTAAATTTGAAGGAAAATTGAAGAGTGAATGGATCTGAATCATAGTACTTGATTCTCAGTGAAATCAAATCAATATCTTCAACTATTGGTCATGATCATAATGACATTAAAAGAGATTAGAAAAAAGTGATACAGCACAACAGATATTAACAGTGAGTAATATATTGACATTTTCGGACATTTTTACAAATGTAAATTATCTGAAGGGGTTTTGTGGAAATTTTAGTAATTTCAATAGTTGAAATCATGAGTCAATTGAAGCTAGAACACCATGGAAAACCTGGAAGCATTGGACGGCCGTTTCGTCCTAGTATAGGACTCCTCAGCAGCGCGAGTCCACGAGCGCGCCCCTCGAGATTCGAACCCAGGGCCTGTCAGTCTCGCGCGCGAGCGGTCCAGTACTTCCAGGTTCTCATTGGTGGTCTAGATTTAACTGATTCATGATTTCAACTATTGAAATATAAATTAGACAATCTGCATGAGGAATTCGACTTGATAAAAGTTTAACGTGTATCAGTTTTTCTCTATAAACAATAAACGCAATGTGGAACAATCAACAATTATACAACTTCGCAGTCATAGAACTTTTACGGGACAAAAATATATCTAAAAGCAAACGCTCTAGTCAATATATAAATAGATTAGGACTGTCGTATAAGGTAAGGTTTAACCTCCAAGTCACAAAAGCATCTAAGATCAGAACCACTTAATTAACGTTAACAACATTCGTTTAAAATGTACATTACAGATTGATCTCACTTAAACAAACACTAAAAAAGCAAAATCATTAAACAGCTATTTTGTTATAGTATGAAACTTCCTCAGCAGTATTTATTCACTTCACCGAGAATCAGAACTACGACCTTCAGGTCCTACCATGAACGCCTAATATCCAACTACTAAGTCAACATTTCTAACTTCGATCGATCTACAATATTGCGCAACAACAAACCAATATCATTAGTGAGTTAGCTGTATTTATTTAAATGCAAATAAAAATCTTTACTCACATATCAGAATCTTGATTGAAGGCATTACGATTACCAGTGTCACTGACTCTTGACGGACTCTAAAAGGTTAATGGAAAACAAAAAATTTAAAACAATCAGAAAGATCGTTTTTGAAACAGTTTGAATTGCCAATAATGGTAATTTGATATATACATGTGCAGCGTAGAACCTACACATATGTGCATAGGTTGAAGCTATCACAATATGTCAACACAGAGAAATGAAATCATCAAGACAAATATGAAATTAGTGGTAGTAACAGTATCGGTGGTAATAGAAAAGGTTAGAGATACACTATAATTGCACGAACATCAACAAGGAGATTTGAGCCTATAAAAACGAAGCAGTCTAACAGTTAATGATTTCATGTATTGATGATACATTTAGATGGTGGTTGGAGGTAGTCAACAGGAAACCCTGGACCCGGGTTTCGTGCTACTTGGCACTCGTCAGCAAGGTGTACCTGTAATCTTGAGGGAACTGGTGCTCCCTGGCGGATTCGATCTCGTGTCACCCAGCTTCCCTCAAGAGTACAGGTACACCTTGCTGACGAGTGCCAGGTAGCACGAAACCCGGGTCCAGGTTTCCTGTTGACTACCTCCAACCACCATCTAAATCTCAATATATAGTGCCCATAGTGTCGAGTCACCTAGACTGGTGGCCACACTGCAACATGATCGATAGCGTTCGATCTGCGCTGATAAGGACTAGACACGCATGACATTGATCACCACCCAGTGATCAATCAATTGTGATTGATGAAACATTTCAATTTAGCCAACACCCTACGTTTCTTCTAAATTAAATCTACACTAGCTGACATCATGAGTTGAGGTAGAGAGTGGTGGAGCGTACCTAGTATACATTCCAACCATCTCATCTCATCAACCAATTTATTATTATTAAGCAGTACTTTGTGGTAATCGATAATTTTAATATACACTAAAAATGCTTCGATGGCATACATGGTCAAATACTAGTAACGTACAAATATCCTCGTTTTACAACCGCACAGCAGTCAGTCAGCTACAACATAGGGCCAGGCATATATATGCACGGTCCAAGTTGCCATACATCATTAACACAACAAGATGAACACCGGATTCATAGAAGTAGTTAATTCAGAGGTGGTAATATATAACCGTACAGTAAGATAGAATGAATCCGTCTATATCTTCATGAATATTTTTTTCGTACAACTAATTCTTTTTTTAAAATCTACAATAATATACCGATAAATATATCACAGGTATAATTGATGTCAAATAACAAAGCTAATTATATTACAATTTACCATCAAGTTATCCGTAAGTACTATAGTTACAACATCATGGCATTGCATTACAATCACATGAATATACACAAAATCATCAGGTGAATTACATCTGATTTATTTTGTGTATTCTTACATAATAGTTTTGTTCGTTTGTATATCTGTGTATGTGTTTGTATGCGTGTGTCTATAAACACACACACACACACACACTTGCGAGTAATATATCATTGTGCTATAAAACTTTATTGAAATGATTTAAACAAATTTGATTAATTTATTCATTGAAAATTCACTATTAAATCAATAATTAAATGTTCCTATCTTCATCAATTATTAGTCCAATCCAACACACAACTGTTGACTTAGTTACTTGTATTAACTGAATCGATTTTGGACAAATAAGTGTGTATTCGATTTGACCAGCAGCGGGTTTGTGTGCATTAAAGGAATAAAACGTTTTATTATTATTATTATTATTATTATTATTATTATTATTCGATATCAGTCGGTCCCTTAACTAGGTGTAAATGGTAATAAATTGATGTAGTAGTATGATGAAAATACAATACAACATTTAATTTTCAATCTGGATATGTAGTCATTCACATGAAGTACTTTTAATGTGATGTTAGATCAACAGTTAATTAATACGTTGAATCAGCTAGCTGTCAAAATAATAGATTATTATTATGAAATCACTCCCCGAACTTTACAGATTTCAAGGAAAGGTTGTTGATCAGTTACAGTCAGTCAGCTACAACGTAGGACCAGGCACATATATGCACCAGTTCAAGTTGCCACACCTCACTATAAGATGGTGGTTGTAGGTAGTCAATAGGAAACCCTGAACCTAGGTTGCGTACTATTTGGCACTCGTCAGCAAGGTGTACCTGTAATCTTGAGGGAACTGATGCTCCCTGACGGATTCGATCCCATGTTGCCCAACTTCACAGTCACAGACACACTTCATTAGCACAACGAGATGAACAAAACTCATAGAAGTATTTACTCCAATGGTAGTAATATATAAAAGAAATATTTCGTATAAGGATATAATACAATAAGAATTCATTTGTAGAAGGAAAGGTATAAAGTAATTTTAATCTCAGTTTACAACATGTTTTCATGAGTAATGATAACGAAATGGATAAACAAAAGTCATCTGTAGAGATCTACTTCAAACAAACATATACTACTTTTTTGCAATGAAATAATAACATACTGGTCAAAACCAATATGATCGGTTTTATTCATCACAGAAGCACTTTGGGGTTCGAATTAAGTACCCTAACAAATATTGAGAAAATCGAGGATAATACAATAATCAACAAATTAAACTAATTTCCACAAAATCCCTTCAACCATACTTAAATAGTCAACTCACCATGAACGTACTCCAAGGTTTTCTTTTAACTTTACTGAAAAGTCGTGGCTGGAGGAAGTCAAAAATATCGGGAATGAAACAGTTGTCACCGATACCACTGTATGATCGTCTCAATGTATCGTGAACTAATTAAAGTTAGAAATGTACTACTGAAAGCCGATCCAGTGGTCCTAATGCCTAAGCATTCACCGAGCAGTTTGAAGGTTTTGAGTTCGACTTCTAGTGGGGTCACGGGTGTAAACTGAAGAGTTTCGGACTTGGACAATAAATCCTACTGCTACCTAGCTTTTAATGTTATCCCAACTGAGATCAATTTGTGACGAACACAACCTACATATTATATTATCTCTTGAATTAAAATCACGATATGAATTGAAGGGAATCAGTAAACCTCATGATTAATATGAAGAGAAGTACTAGTAACTCAAGCAAACAACTTGCTTTATAGATATTAATTTATCACATTACAAAACCATTTCAAACATATGAATTTACGTGTACCAGAATATTATTACTAATGTTTACATAATATATTTACCAAACACTCCTGATAGACAAACTTGTATTGTCTTATCAAACTTTTACTAAAATATGATTTAGTCATTAGGTTAATTCACATCCAACTATCACAGAGGGTCACAAGTTTGACCTCTGTCCTATTTTGTACATAATAGATCAATGACAAAAAAAACATTCTACCAAATTTGAAAACCATCTGTAGTTAGCTTCGTTTTTGCAAATATTAATAGGACATACAAAGAAGAACTATAACTTATTCATTTGATTACAAAATAATAATAATAATTATTATTATATATATTGTGAATATACACTTACTGAGGCTGAACAACAAATTGAATTGAAAAGGACCAGTTGATAGGAATACAATAAATGAATGTTATGATCGGTGAACAAGTAGACAGCATATATTTATTCATGTGTACCAATGTATAAGATAATAAACATGAATATTTGCAACAAACAAAACAGAAATATAAAATGTGAGATTTTTTAGAAAGAAATAATAAAGTAAAAAGCTGATATCAGAAGGAGTTTTGTGGAGATTTTAGAAATTTCAATCGTTGAAAACATGAGTAGTCTAATGGTTAAGCGCTCGTGCGCGAGACTGATAGGTCCTGGTTCGAATCTCACGGAGGGAGGGACCATGGATGCGCACTCCTGAGGAGTCCCAGGACGAAACGACCGTCCAGTGCTTCCAGGTTTTCCATGGTGGTCTAGCTTCAATTGACTCATAATTTCAACTATCAAAGAGATGATAGTTTTTAGAGAGAAAAAAATATACCAACTAACACCAGGAGAATTATCTTTTACATTTGGATTATTACAATAGGGGTGTTGACAAATATTTTATTGACTTGGGGTAGTGAGTATTAAAAGAAGTGCAAGTTTGGGATGTAGCTTTTTAATTATGTATGTCTTAGAAGCACATCTCGAGTTTCTAACCGATTCATGAGGCCAAGAATCTGCATCGACTGAGACATTTAGGATATGTGTAACCCATGCCCAATTACCGTTTACCTCTACCGGGTATGTTTGCTGGTGCAGAAGCAAGTTGGAAGAAAGTTAAGAGCAGCAGAACCAAGACATGATATTAATCCATGAAGTCATTGACTAGTTGTCTAAGCTACGTTATTTACAAGCAGATTACCTGGTTAGGGTGCGTGTCATAACCGTGATCAGTCGTTGGAAACTTTAGGTGACAACTTAGAACCATTCACAATGACACAGAAGCCTTCATTCTTTATCATCCTCTTTATATTAAACTCCAATATTCATTCATGTTCCGTCTTCATCACTATCATTACTACTACATCATTTCGACCTCTCTTGATAATCTTGTTATGTTCATTTAGTCGTACCAATAGGCCATGCAAATCTGTGCCAGGCTCTACGTAACGTAGAGTAAGTTAGGACAAACAATTTAGATAAGACATAATCATAAAACTCACTAGAAACACAGCATGAATTACATTTGTAAAAATAAGGTATTCTTAAGTGTAAGATAATATTATTGTCTGAGATCTGCTGACAACGACGGTAACTAGAAACACTATTTAAAAGACATGTCAGAATAAATTCAGTACTTGAAGCAAATAAGTCAATATCTTATGTATTTTACGACGTCTGCAACAATAATGATGTCGAACTATTAGATACTGTTATTTTCAGTTCTAAATTATGCACTTTACATCAAGGACTAACTTAACTTAGACAACCACTGATAAAGTAGGACACTGGACCAGTTGACTGGCTTTTGTTGCCACAATATTGATATCACAATAAAAATTATTCTTACGGTTAACTAACTTTAAACTTTATCCATTTGTACAGATTTAAATGGGTTTTTTTTAATTTGTATGATTATTATTACGCATATAGAGATAGACTTACGAGTATCTTGTTGGGATGAAGTTGAAGCTGATCTAACTGTAATCACTCTGACTGTATTCATCCTACTTGAATCAACCTAAACAACATTAAAACGACAGAATGAAATAATTTAAACATTCAAAAATGAAGCATACTTTGAAGTGTAACAACAGACAAACATGCATAAGCAACGTGAGACTGTTATGTTCTGCAGTCTAATCCAGTTTAGAAATACACTTCATAAGGTATACGAAACCCAACTATGAAATTGAGAGAATTGTTAAATGAGTAAAAAAGCTTAATAGCCAAATCGAATTATAATGTATGCGAATCATAGGTATATATATATATATATATATATATATATATATATATATATATATATATATATATATATACGATTATCTTTCCGACATACAGAACGACATGTAAACTGAAACCTTGACTAGGTCCCTGATCAACTTCATCCAATACCATGCCACATTATTAATTTCTCACCCCATGTTTGATCTTAATGTGGCCTGTGAACACATGCACATGATATATCTGCACTCGTTCAGCCTGTCAGAGAACTAAGTGAATGAGCATCGTTTAAGTTTGCCACTACTCACTCATACTAACACAACAAAAATAAAGTCAGTATGTGAAAAAACAAAGAAGAGGAGGTAATGAAGTAGTGAAAACACAAAAACAAGAAATATATAAGCTTGAACTTATGAAATATACAATGTTCACTGCAACTTATTATCAGCCACATCATTTAGTCTCTAACCATAAATTGGTATAATCACTCAGATTACGGATGGGATAAAAATTAGATATCTGTATAGATTAAAGTTTCAATCTAAATGTGAACACACTTATTCGTCTTCTTTGTGATTTCTATGTTAGTCACAATAGCTTGTCTAATAAAGATCTTGATGACTTTTGATAGCCTTTTATTTGATGTTAGCTGGTAATGAAGATTGTATTTAAGAACATAAACTCTGTGTGTAATTAAAACTGCAGTGTTCACAGATGAGCTTTCTAATCATACATCATCACTAATAAAGATTTGAATCATCCCGCTGTTGATATTCAGAACTAAATTTGATCAGTCTATGCTGACATATTTGCATCATGTGAGAAATATCAAAATTTAGCCACTTCGTCGAAAGTGTTTATCAATAGATGAATTATGGGAAGTAGAGGAACCCAGGAGGCGTATTCCATCCTGTTGGAAAATCGTCAGTGAGATTTACCAGGATGTGCATCGTGGAATATATATGGAGTAAATTTGGCTTGGACAGTAAGATACTGTGGTGTATGCTACTTATGTTGACAGGTATAAGTATTATGTAGCAACAGTCGGAAGTGGAACGCTTGCGAGAAGATTGAAATGAAAAGAACGGGAATGTAAACAGAGTGACTGAAATAACAACAGAGATGAAGGAACGATGAAGTTTATAAGTAACAACTGATGGAAGATGTGCAAATGATGTATTTAACGTATGACTTTCCATATTTTATAAAAACACTCTGTAATCTTACACTAAACAATAAATGGGTTCTTCCCACCAAGTGCTCGTTCACTGCAATACGACATTTCACGTCTTGTTACAGGTCCATGGTACTAAGTCAGTACGTAAAACTATTCATTAATTGTGATCACAAATATTATTGAGTTATTGATTTCATTATGACCTTAAGTCTATACGTTATTTGTGCACAAATACACTTTTTTAGTAGACAATACTCATTACACAAGAATGTCATCGTAGCGCCAACACGCATACCAACTACCAATCATTTTACAATGATGGTGTCAATGTACATGGATATTTATTTGTTCTAAAGTTACTCCTAGCATATAAAGAAAAATTTATTACAATAAGCCATTAAGAAATTCACCAGTGTATGAAATGAAATCATAACATAATTGTGAAGACATAAAAGGCAGAAAAAGGATCATTTGGAAAAAGAGAATTGAAAAGTAACTCATCCAGAACAGAAATAGATGGTATTTACGGAACGTGTTTAAAAAAGGAACAAGAAGCTGCTCAACATGAAGTAACAACAGAGAAGCTTAATGATCTCAGAATAAAATAGTTTTAACTGTTTATAAGATCTGAAGTTTAGGGTATTACTTAGTGCATGGTTGGAACATACAGCACTGAATGACTAGTTAGTTGTTTTTCTTAATTTTATTTTTTCTAGTGTCTATGGTACCATCATCACCAACATTCACCAAATGCAATTAATGATTTCACCAAGATATTCTCATACACATCAAGGAGAAAGGATAGATCGGCAAGCTTCACTACCGCGCTCCAATACACAGTCATTGATAAAAACAAGAATATTGACATAAGATTGGTAGTTTAATTCGGGAAAATAAATCAATAGCAGTAACAGACGACATCAACTGACTTGAATGAATATGTATCAACTTATGTTCCTGATCAGTGTAAAGTATGGTGGAATGACATAAATGGTGATAAGATGATGAAATATGATCGAATTCTAACGTTTTTCTATGATAATCTAACTCGTGAGGAAATCAGAAAACAGGCCGATTGTGAATTGCTCGAAAGATCGGCAATCATTGACCTATTTGAGTGGTAAAGTGGATATTTATCGGTTTTCGCATACTTTTGTAATTTATTTCCAATACTTTCTACGTCTATGCTCAATGTTCTAATTTCAGACTGAGTATGACAAGAAATTAAATGATACATGTGAGTGACCTATGAGATTAAACATTTTAGGATTTCATGTTGTTTAAGTGAAGTATATTTTTTCTCAACACTAGTACATTCATTCATTTTTTGAAGTCGAACGGTGTACAATACAATGATAATAAAGCAAATAATTATAAAATGACACAAAGTACAATTTATATGTATGCACTATTGATCAGTATACATATATTATATATAAGGTCACGTATACAATTAGAGCACAAAAATCAAGTATATGCACGCAAATATTGAGTACGTACGTAACCAAAAATGTAATTGTTCACAATGAAATCAAATGACTGGCATATTACTGAAGATTAAAGAAATTACACTTAGATTTGAGTACATTTTTAATCTCAAACAAGAGTTGTTTTATAAAGATATTTGATGAACTCCAAAGTATTAACATAAATGTATTCAAATTTAAATACAAAATAAATAGTTAAATCCCAAAGCAGAGCTAATCCGTATCGGGTAGAGACAGGTATCTACTTCAGTACAATGGAAGATGATCGCGCAATCTCGTGGACTGCTTGAGGTTAGACATTAACACCGTTGGATGCCGAATCAGTGTTCTAGAGGTTAGGCGTTCTCGTGGGAGACTGAAGGTTCTGGGTTCAAATCCCGCGAGAGGGATCGTGGATGCGCCCTGTTGAGGAGTCCCACGACGGGACGAAACGGCCGTCCAGTGCTTCTAGGTTTTCAATGGTGGTCTAACATCAATCGGGTCATGATATCAATCCATAACCTAATAATCTCCACAAACCTAAACCGACAAATCCCAAAATGATATTTTATGATAAAAGTGAACATGGGAAATTAGAACATGGTTGATTAACTGTACATAAGTGCGTAAGTATTTACGTTTTTAATACTGGCTTCAGAGTGATAAGATAAATTAAGGAAATTACTTATACGTAATGAACAGAAACACTGTCGTGTAAACTAAAAGTGATAGGGTCAACTTTTTTGACGATCTAACATATAATTATCGGAATTGAATTTTTTTTCTTGATATTGGTAAATGTTAGTTTAAACACTACACTACACTCAATTAATAATCAAGTTATGTAGCGAAAAAAAAAACAAGAAACTACTATGGTAACTGCAAACTAAAATCATATGACATTTTCTGTCATAAAATCATCAGGGTGAAGAATATCTCTAGAAATAGAAGGAAGAGAGGGACGCGCAGACTGCTTAGTCGTAGAGTGTAAATACTTAGTGGAATGTTAACTAACTATGAAGTTAAGACAGTAAAGCTTTGTAACTGCTATCACTCTAAGAGTCATTTAATTTTTGCTTTACGACAGATAAATAGTAAGATGAGTAGTAAGATATTAGATTTTTTCATCCATCCAAAATTGAGTACACTTTAGGCATTATGAAAAACTTTATTTTACAATAGCCAACATTAAAAAGGAGTGTACATATCAATCATTATTTGCATGGCTGACTTCCTAAATACTTAAACTTAGTAATCATTCGAAATGGTATGTAAGTAAAATAAAAATGTTTCAGTTCTGTAGGTCAAGGATTCTCTTTCAATGCCTAATTGATTCAAATTTACAAATAGATAGGCTTATAGGAGTAGATATTACGATCGACAATGTGTGACACTTAAATAAGATAACAAATACCTATGATACGTTAACGATTGGAATCTAGAACAAAAGTCAAGTTTCGTTCCATTGAATTGTGAAACTTTTTAGAAGCTGAGCTTTTGTTTTGATTTTAGATAATATCGTATCACTGACCATTAAAATGCAAACACTTGTATAGTTAAATTCATTTTCTATGATTTGTTTGAATCTTCCTATTGATGTTTAGGACTGCATTTGATCAGTCTCTCTCTCTCTCTCTTATTGGCATATGTGCATCCTGTACGGATTGCCTTTATATTACCTTAAACCACTAGCATGATAAACAAAGATGGATGGTGGTTAGCAGGATGCGCGTCTCGTCCTATTCAGGACTCATCAGCTGGATTAATCTGCATCTCAGAGTTGATGGATATGTCTAGATTTCATTTTAACATCTGACTGAATTTATTAAATAATATGGAGATAATATATTATGTAAAATAATCTTAAATTACCAAAACTCATCTGAAATTCTTATTCATAATAAAAATTCCAAATATATGTTTAATAGATTTTATCTAATTGAGAATGTATTTACCTCATCACACATTCTTCAATAACACAAACTATAATAGTAATTACAAGTTCAGTTCATCTAAAAAAAGAAAGAAATCTATAAATATAACAGTTGAACTTTCGAGAAATAAACAAAGAAAAAACATGTGAACTGAATTGTTTAAAAAAAGATCAAATAACCAATGCAGTACAGTGATTATAGATTTCATAGTTGTTGTTGTTGAACTCATTGGTTTCTTACAGTTACCATTTATCTTATTATCTTCTGTAATTGATCATTACAAAATCTGACTATAGAGCCTTTTGTTTAAATCATCACATTGATAATCAATATTGAGTCACTTTAACACTACAACTATAAAATGTATACAATCAGCAAGAGTACCAGGGTTTGAACATTATGATACACGTCAGTATCTTAGAAAGAGAAGGTTGATGATCTTTGGATTATTTGATTTCGGTTACGAAATCGATAGACTCTTCACATAACCAGAAAATAGTTAGAACTTTTGATACTAAACAACGGTAAATTAAATTAGCTGTCCGCTATGGAAAAAAACGTTCAAGTTAAACTGTAAAAAGAAAATTACCAAAATTGACTACAAGAGAGAAAACTAGTTAGCATCATAAATTCTGACAATTGGCTTCAAATATATACAGTAAAGTCAGTTAATATAATAACAGTGTCAATACTGTCAAAAGCTACCAATTTTTGACAGCTTATGAAATAATCAATTATCTATAAATTCTAATTACATTCACTAATTGACTGAACAAATGATTAAGTTACATTTGTAGTTGACTAAGCTGAGGTAACTGACTTTTCAATCTTACAAAGTTATCTTTGAATAAAGCACACAGAAACAATTGCAAAAATATAAATATCTACCTAAAAGATACCTAAAATAAAATCCTATTCTTGTTGACTGAATAGAAACTGACGAGAGAAGTGAATCGTTACACTAGCACAACAAGAATTTGATTTCGAATCGGACACCCGATTATTAACATTTACAGATTTAAATCGATAGTTCATATTCTAAAATGAATAATTTTGATTTTTTTCACAATTTAATAACTAAAATCCCATTCATTTGATTTGTAGTAGCTTGAATTATCCTGTAGTTGATATTTTGAATGAAATTTGATCACTATTGGTTGGGATTCAATGTATAAATTCTTAAAACGTTTAAAAAAACTTGCTATTCATATTTGCTTGAAATTAAAGATACTTATTATTGCAAGGAAGATAGAAATCTTTAAGACAAAAGTCAGACAATCCACACTAATTTTGCAGTTCAAATTGTTATTAATTCAAAATAGAAGAGATTTTGTATTCAATGCACAATGAAACTGGGAGCAGACTTGTTACTGAAATGATGAGATAGGGAAAAAGTACCAGGAAAGCATTACTGTTTTCTTGAAGACTAAATTTCACGTCCTATTGTTATGACGATTTAATGTAAAAGAAGAACTTTAGGAATTCAGAATGACCATATAGTCAGAGGAAATTTATAATATCAACATCCAAGAAGATAGAATTACACAGATTAACTAAATCAATACTCGCACACTCACATTATTAACAAGCTAGGACCAAAACGACATGTTGTTATTTATTAACTGTATGCTAAAATTGAACGGGGGCTCAGTAGTTAAAACATTTGACTTTCAGTCACTAAGTCTTTCATTCAACCTCCCCTCCATCTACTTTGATTAAAACGACTAGGAAGTATCACAGACCCCTAAATTTAAAGTCTCTAGAAGCCAATTGCATGAATCTACATTTTGAAATGAGTTACTGATAACATGACTGAACAAACATCATAAAACATGTTTACACGGTTTCCCGCGTTTGGTCGTTTTTATTTAACTAAAACCAAAAGCTAGGTACTACCTGACAATAAGAAGTAACAAGTTTCACAAACAACAGTTGATGATCCCTTAAATTCAGTGGTGAACTTATGTGCAACTAGAGATTTAAAAATTTGTGACATGATTCCAATTAGTTTCACATTATAAAGACAACTGTTATCTGTATTTAACAGTAATTTCTTATGACAGTTCAATTCTCGAGTGCATTGTAATCAGCCAATCAATCATACGTAACGTAGAACCTAACACACAAATAGATAGGTTCAAATTTCCACAACTTATTAGCACAAAAAGATGAAATTATCAGAGTAAAAGACTGTTGTGATTAAGACTTCTAAAACCAAGAAATGGTTGTTGCCACTGACACATGAATGAGAACTTGATTGAAATTTCATGCGAAACATCATATATGAAATGATCATTTTATTTTTATCCCAAGTTAATATTAAATATGATCGATTAATAACTACTGGGTTTTTGGCCGATAGAGCTTTTCTAGGTTGATAAAATAATCACAAAATAAACACATTGTATCTACCTCTTAACAATCGAATAAAAATGTGTAGAAACATTACAATAATTCGTGTGGGTTTAAATATACCCAATAAAGATTAAACCGTAATATCGTGCCTAAGTGACTGGGAACAGCTGTAAGAGGTGCGTGCTTGAAAAGGAAAAACTAGAGAGAAATTCATACGGAATAACAGTAGTAATTATAATGTTTAAATTATACCTCAGATAAATGTACCATGACGATATTAATAATAAAAATGACTAAAGTGATAATACTATCATTATAATAATTTTTTTTACTTCAATGGATTATTTTTAAGTCTAGGAACAGGCATTAATTATTGAGATTTTGGATACTGTAAGTCGATATATTTTTATGAAAATGCCGAAAATATCACAGAGTAGTCATGTGATTAGGTCGCTCCATATTTTTACATAAAACAGATTTAACACAATGAAAACCAAAACACATGAATGGAATAAGTCATCTTGTTTATATGTGTTCGATCTGTATATAGATATACACATAATTTATAAAAAATATAGTACAAAAAGAAAAACTTTGCTAATATAAGTACGTTTTGCAAGGTTTCACTGACGTTTGTGTCGATTTATGCTCGGGAAAGTATGTTCCATATGAAGGAACATTAGAAGATCTTTTTTCCAGTTTTTAAAAACAGATCATAAAATAGATTTCCTCAAAGCTGTATATACTGTAAAAATAAAGGCTGACAAAAACCCGTAACTATACTGAAGTGCAGGTATTTATCTGAACCACCACAGGAAAGGTAACTGTGCCATACATAACACAGTACAACAGGGATTACAGTTACTGAATCATACCCACCGTCTACAAGCAACGGCTTTGTCAGACGACAAGGTTATTATAGATTTAATAGCAGTAGGTTTAAATGAGTGCTGGCAGTCATTCACACTGTTTAATAGCTGGTTATATTCAACCAATAACACTTAAAATTTTAGTAGTGTTTAAAGGGTGAGACCATAATTTATGGACAACCTTTGAGTGACCTTGAGAGTTTTCACCTAACAGCTAGGACCAAATGAAAGTTATAAACCTGTGTGATTTACAGTTGATGGTTGGGGTTAGGAATTACATCTAGGGTTTTCATCACTAACTGACATCAGCTATAATGCTAAAATTCTATTTAGCCAAATGGATAGGTGAATTTCGCGCCAAAATTCGAGACCTGTTATCTTACACCTGATGGGTTCGTCCATAAGTTATAGTCTCGCCGTTTAAGGACAGAAAATTACTCAAACTGAAATGGAGATAGATTCGGATCAGTTCAATACAGAAGGATGGTTTTCATCATAATATTTGTATGCTAATTTAACAGCTCAAGTTTTTTTGTCAAAACAAAATTCACCTAGTAGCTTTTGTCACCGTGCAGTATAAAATATATAGCAGTATACAAACCCGCCACTTGACAGATAGTTCAGTCATAGCTGAAGTCTCCCGAGGCATGAAGCTTTTTTACAAATTACGAATGAGACATCCTTAAAAGTGAATTCAGAACCAAAACTTACAAATTATGACAGGTTCATTCCATAATAGGACAAATAAAATCGACAGATGGGAGACTTGGAGACAAATAGTGAATAGCTGACCACCTAAAGAGTAGACTTTTCTCAACAAAAAGTTTATATCCTGAATATATATTCATTATAAACGTATAAGTCCTATTTTCATGGATAACGAATATAACTACATACAAATAAGTGAATCTTAAGAATAAGTCTATGAAGGCTTCGATGATGAGCAAAATATTTTGTAAGTACAATGAAAATCAGGTTCAACTAATGATCCGTCCCTGAAAAGATTTCTCTTGCCTAATTGGTGGGTCAGTATTAGGTTTTCTTTGGGCTGTTACAAATAGATAAATAGCTTTCTTATAACTCAGTTATCCAGACATTCACGTAGTTAAGGCTACAGTGTGTTCCTAGAGAACAAATATTGTTATTTAGACCACAATGATTAAAGACGAATTCGACACTTCGAACAACAAACACGCTTACGTAGACTTATATCCCCCGCGAAAAACTGTAAATTTTTCCTCAACATGACCTACATAATTGAGTTAACTGAACAATAGGAAATGTATTTCTAAACAAAATAACCTATGTTTGCGAATATATCATTGAGATTACGCTGTCGAATTCATATGCTGACCAGAATTCGAACAGACTTAGATACATCAGGAACTTGGATAGTATAGTGATTATGTACTTGTCGTGACTATACTTGCTTTGGGTACTTATTGCACTAAAAAGCATTCTTAGTCTACTTTAACTAAAAGTAATTTGGTTAAAGTTCGAAATTTTTTGCTAAATTTTGTCTTCAGTACCTTTTTTTACTCCTTGACTAACACTTGTATTCACATTGTGAGCATTTTGTGTTTTTAAATCTTTTAAATCGAATTACAATGGTCGGTAAGACTCCTAAATGTGGGCACCCAAATTGTTTGTTCTCCGTTGAGGAGGGAATGTAGTGTGACGATTGTAAAAAGTGGTATAACAAAATGTGTACACGATTAAGTCCGACGGCTTACAAAAGATGCTGGACGCCTAACTGGCATTTGCTGTGTATGTTCTGCTGTACGGATAAAAAGGCACTAATACCGGAGG